CGTTAAATGTTCGACTTCCAGCGCAGATCGTCAGGCTACCAAAGTGGAGGAACCATCTCCTCTGAAAAGGATCAAAATTGCGATGGTATGTCTCCGGATCATATTTGAGGATGTTCCCCAGACCGTCGCCAACAGCCAATTGTGCATAAATACCCTATGACAGTATAGTGATAAGCTCATACAATCTCTACACATAATAAAAAATTAAAGAATTATCATTTATCTAATCTTATAATAATATAAATGAACAAATCAAACTTTTTTCCTTCAACGTATTTTATGATAGCAACAATACGGACAAAAGTAATCAAATATTTGTTACAATAAATCAGAGTTTTTAAAAAAGTAAATTTCCATTTAAAACAGAAAGTGTTTAAAATTTACTCTTATAACTAAATATTTAATTAATATGTAGCTTTTTAAATAACATTTTATATCATTTAAATATTTAACTTTTTAAATAATAATAAAAAATTTCTTCAAAATTAAGTTGTGAGAGTAGGTTAATAAGAATTAAAAGGCTAAGAGTGATGATCGTGTCTGGATCACCAATGTGGGAGTACACCACCAATAATGTCTACCATCTTCTGTCAAAAGGCAGCTTCAGATCGAATTAAGTAGACATTGACTATCACTGGTAACAGTGATAGTCAATGGGAATTGAANTTCCTTAGAAAGAATTATCATTTTGGATGATTATGATGTATGTATATATATTTTGAATTACTACTTTGTAAATATCTATGTTAAATGTTTTTTAAGAAGACAGTCAGATTCGTTTGGTGTAATTTGTTTTTGACGGAGCATTTAAGATTTTTTCTTTGCCTTATATAATCTTCCTTAGAAAGAATTATCATTTTGGATGATTATGATGTATGTATATATATACTCCCAAACCGACTTTTGCGAGGCCATATACCCACCCTTTTATTCAATAACGACGTGCATGTTTTAGATATATATGAATTTAAACAAAGTGGGGTCCCTTGACATAATTACTTGTTTAGCATATAAGTTAACATAAATATTCTAGTTTAACCGGTGTTTAAGCAGACGGCGCATCGGTAATATTTTTATTTAATTAAATGTGCATTTATTTCAATGATTTAAAAAAAAAAATTCTCATAGTTTTTAGCATTTGCTTATTGTTACAACATTCATTAGCTAGCTAGTATGTTTAATTAAGGTTTATAAACCTTTGTTAAGCAAGCAGAAGGACATGTATATTTATTTACGTTGCACTAGATTTGCACAATAGGTTATTGGTGACGGTTTGGGAAACATTCCTAAGAAAGATCCGAAGACATCATACATACTTCACAGACTGTTTTACAGGGAGGACATATTCACAAACCATCCATCAGTTCGCTGATCGTATTTTTTGCCTTGAATCAGATCAATCTCCGATTTGTACTCGCAGAGATATTCATTTGTCATAGGAACTTGGAGGATTTTGTTACCCCGACCGATTTAGCTTGCACCACTCACTATTTTGTGCACGGGTAGTCTTCGATCGGTGGGAATCGAAGTCACTACCCCCCGAACTTGGACAAAACGCCCTACCAGCCAGACTATTCCGGCCAAAGGATAGATAGAACAGAACAGATACAGAGAAGGATATCACGGAGAACAACTGGGTCTGAGCTTGCTACCTCGACGATATGCCCAGCATTTGGAGGGCGATACCGCTCGGCTACGGAAATCCCTGATTTTTAATACATCAAGCTGTAAAAGGGGAACAACTAATCTTCACTTAAGCGTTAAACATTGTTTTGGTTTTGCGATTCGAGCTATTTAATTCTTTCTTTGACGCTGATTTGCAATTTTAATTCATCTTCTTTCATTGTTAATTGTTATTTTTTAATCGCTTTTAATTGTTATTGTTTAATCCTGGTTAATTGTTTTTTCTTAATATTTTTGTTAATTTTTTATTCGGATTTTGTTAGTTTTTTATTGTTTTCTCTACTGTTATTTTGCTTGACTATATTTTATACATGGCTCCACCTAGAAGTAAAAGGTATAAAAGCTATTTATGCAGTTCTGCGAATATTCCAAAAACAACTGATTGGAGATATACTAAGCAACTGAATTGCGTGACAACATTGAATATACTAAGCAACTGAATTGCGTGACAACATCGAATGATGATTGATGCTGTTGCGCTGAATGAATCAGATAGAATGTCTTCATTTAGTGCTAATTATGAATCTGATGGACTTTCTTTCTCTGATAATGAATCACTTCCAAGTGATTCAGAAGAGACCTCAATCAACAATGCCAACCAAGTTGATATAACTTTAAATGCCATTGTAAACAGTGCCTCCAAATGTTCAAAATTTTAAGCCTTATTAATGTGTCTCCACTATGCAATTAGGCATGATTTGACCAATAATGCTATTGTGGACCTCATTGAACTTGTTAATCAAATTAACGGATCTCAGATTTTCCCTCCTAGTATGTTTCTCTTAAGAAAACTTTTTTCTTTAAATTTGCCATATAGATTTCATTTTTATTACAAAAATTGCTTAACATATATTGCAGTATCTATCAATGATAATACCCATAGAATTTGTGATGTGTGCTCCGAAATTTTTTCCACAAAATCATTAAATGATGGTAACTTTTGTTTGACTATACCAGTGGCCCCTCAATTGAAACAGCTCCTTGATTCTAGAAATCAAGAAGAAAAGTTTCCTAAATTCCAAGAATCTGAAGATGGAGTCTTATCTCATTTGAATGATGGATCTGGATTTCAAAAATTAGTTGAAAATGGGATTTACCGAGATGGCGATTTATCAGTAACTTTTAGTACTGATGGATCGGCAGTTTACAAATCTTGTAAAAACACCTTGTGGCCCATTCAATTTCATTTAAATGAGTTACCTTTAAATGAAAGGTTTGATGGGTGTAACACCATGCTCGCCGGTCTCTGGTTCGGCAGAAAAGTACCAATTATGTCCACCTATTTCACATCTTTTATTAAAGAAGCCATTGGAGGAAGGAGTTTCAATTGCTGGCATTACAAGAAGAGTGATTTTCACTTCTTGTGTTGCGGATTCCGTGGCCAAAGCTGCGTTACAAAATATCAAACAGTTCAATGGCAAATATGGTTGTCCATATTGCTATCATCCTGGAGATATAGTTGAAAGCAGTCAACTGAAATATACCTTTGGCACCTTTTATGAACGAAGAAATTCAAACCAAATGAAGAAAGATATGATTGCAGCTGGGCAATCGGGAGAAATCGTTAAAGGTGTCAGTAGTTAGAAAAAGCCGATTCTGCGATACAGGCGGTGGAGTTGTGTTGTTTCCCTCCTGCTGCTGAGGTGAGTTGAGTTGTTCATCTCCTGTTTTAGTTTCGGCTATTTTAGCTTCCGGTGGCAACACCTAAATTAGTTTCGATTTCAAATAGTAGCATGTCACCTATTTCTGCCCGCTTGAATTTTTTATTTTAGTTTTGATTTCAGTATTATTTAGTATAGTATGGCAACACTCATTAATTTAGATTTGTTATTTAAAGATGGCAACACTCAATCTGTTTACAAAATGAGCAGGCGGCGCAGTTTCGATTTCCAAACGAATTCATTCGATAATAGTGGTTCCATCTAGTGATTAAAATAATTACTAATTTTTGCACATTATAGATGCGATATACTAGTGGCGCCATCTAGGTTTAAAAGTCATAGTTATGTATAATTAAAAATAATAAATGTTTAAAAATACTATTTGGCAATAAAACTATACATTTTTTTGATACAGGATTTGAACCAGCGACCTCCAGGACAAAATGCTTCCATTGAATACTGATTTGTCGAGCACGCTAACCAATATCCAATGGACGCATTCAGTACGAAAGGAAACTTAAGATTTTAAGGAAAATAAATTTCCAGCTCGCAGACGGTTATGGATAAAAACGTAGTTTCATTTTTTCTTGTTTTTGAAATGGCAACGCATAAATATTAAATTAAAATAGTTTAAACTCGTGAGATTTTTATTTATTTTGTGGCAACATTTTTATTTTTTGAATGGCAACGCTTCGCTTTTGTAAGATGACGTTATCTGATCAAGTATTATCTTGTTTTATTCTGCAGGCTCTTACAAAAACAGTCACCGTTTGTTACTGTATGACGTTTTTCTTCACTTCTCTTCACGTTTTAAATATACTTGTAGTTTAATGCTATTTTCTGATTGGCTGGCTGCTTTTTAATATATGGTTTGCAATATTTTGCTACCTTCTTGCTTATTTCTGCCCGCTTGAATGGCTGATTTTAGTTTCGGTGTTAATTTTAGTATTGTTTTTTAACGGTGGCAACACTCAATTCTTTAAATGTATTATCTTAGAATGGTAACATTTAATTCGGTTTTCAAAATATTCAGGCGGCGCAGTTTCAAAACATATCCATTCGATGCTCATGGTCCCATCTAGTGATTCAAATATCTATTAATTTTTTTATACCATGAAGGTGTGATACTGATGGTGCCATCTAGATATAAAAGTAACAACTAATTACATAATTGAGAATAACAAATGTTGAAAAAATAAATATTTGATAATAAAATTATATATATTTCGACATAAGATTCGAACCCACGACCTCCAAAACAAAATGCTTACATAGCATATTGATTTGTTAGCGACGGTAAGCAGTATGCTATGGACGCATGAAAATAAAAGCAAGACATCTATATAACATAATTTTTAAGTAACTCTAAGTATCGAAAATTGCGAGAAATAAATAAGAGGCATTATTATAAAATGTATGCAGGTATTTTGTTTATTCATTTGATAACATCATAATACTATAATTTCATTTTGGGACAATTACACTAATATTTTATAATTTCTGAAGATTTGTTCTAAATAAATAATACACACATAGAACACTTGATACAGTATTTATTCAGAAGACAGCATTCAATACAAAACATCATCACATTGCAACAACTTCTTAATATATTCTAGATAGTTAAATTTTTTTTATTGAATATATTAAATTACATTAAATTGAATCTTCGGTAGAGTCTAAATCCAACAAAGACCAATGGCCATGTGCAAGAGTGGTAATGCCGTCACGATTGATAAATCTTTTATCATCTTTAAAAGATAAAGCTAATTTGTTTTGCTTAACTGATTGTATCTGATGAAATTTAGATCGAATTAAATTCACATCAACATATTTTAACTGCTGATTAAAAAGATATGATTTGTAATCCTCAAATGTGATTTTATTTTATAACGTTTGCTTTTTGACACCCTTTAATCTTTTTTCAATTTTTGCGTTAGTTTTGTAAGAATACATCTTTGATTTCAATCCGATGAATTCTATCATTATCTCTCCTTTATTTTCATTTTCCCGACAACTTTTTTGTTTACGCGAGGAATCTGATAGATATTATTTTCATCGTAGTCGGAAGTGTCGTATAAATTTAAATTATCTTTCATGTCTCTGTAAAAATCTTCGGTTTGTACTTCGTATATCAGAGAGTCGGTATCGGTATACATAAGTCGAATATTTGATCCATAAGTTTTTTTCATTATTTCGTAGTGGAAGCTATACATTAATATTTTTGATACATCTAGAATCGTCATGCCTACTTGAATTGGTTTATAAAAGGAGATTTTGGTTTTTTTCATGTGAACTGCCATTAAATTTTCTGAAAAAATAGTACGCCGATCAAAATTCGGCTTGGCAATTAGTTTTCGGGCTTGTACTTCAGAAGAGCATAAACGAATATCGACTCTACGCCTTATATTCTCCATGGTTTTTCCAAATATGCTGTTATTCATTAGTTTATAAAAATCCTTATGAAATTCTGTCTTAGATTCTGTTCTTAACTTTGTATTAAAATCTATATAGCTTTGAAGCCACGGGGATTGATTAAATTTTAAAACGCGATGAATTTTTTTTTTAGTACATACTAAACCTAATTTTAAATAAAGCTTTTAATTTGAATAATATATTTTGTTTTTGATTCCAAGGTGGTTAAAAGTCGGGACTCCCTGCAAGTGGGAGGGGGTTTATTTTCGGGAGCAAGAGGAAAGTCTGAGTGACTATCATGTAAATGAAAAGGATACTCAAGGTCTACTTCTAAGATATATCCTACATCTGAGTTATCCGGTATCGTTTGTACGTCTAAATTCGTATCACTCCAAGCAAAGTTTTTTAATGGTAAATATTGACTCATCGCGTATCCGTACAAGTTCTTAGCGTCCAGGTAAATTAAATATTTTGATATATCATCAGGGTTAAAATTAGGCATATATTTATTGTTGGCAGTAGAGTACCGATTGCAGCATTGACTTATCCCCCCTCTCACGCCCTTTTCAATAAATAACATTATTTCGTAATCGGAGAACAATTCTATTGTTATTTGGGTATAATATAACATGGCATCCCAAGACAGGGCGGGAGATGTATAATACCAACAGGGGTCTAACCTGTATGTTTCCAAGCAAATGTCTCTAAACGATTCGAAAACATCAGCTAACAAAATAACATCTGTTTTTCATAGAGATCGCAATAATCTCCAAAAGTTTGAAGTTTGAGAAACATTTACAGCATGCTTATAATCTTCGACGCTAATTTCCTCTTCATTTAGTTCATTATAGAAATGATCGCGAGTAGGTAAACACTTTTCATTGCATTTTTTGAAATCGTCAAAATAATCGTATGGGAATACTCCTTTTCTTAGGAGTAAGTCTATTTTATCACTTGGAAAGTTGTTTTCCATATGCTTAAATTTATCTTTACTTAAATTAGAAATCAATTTATCGAGACCGGTGGACATAAATTTAAAAGAATCTGAAAAGCGGATTTCAAATGTATTACATATTTTTTTCGAAAATGAGATATATTTTTCCTCATTATTAGGAATTAGGAAAATCGGCTTATCGTCATAGCCTAGTTCTTTTACAAAAATATGAGCATCATATCCGGACAAGTTATGAAAAAAAATAGGCAAGAACTTTGGAGTTCTCATTAACAAGTTGCAGGCATTACAACATGCACCATTAAATTTTTCTGTAACATGGTTATGATCGCGAACTTTATAATTTTTATCTGAAAACGAGATTTTACATACGTAACATTTATCAGCACTTTCAAATTGCATTTGCTCGGCCATATTTAATGGTTTTGGACTATTATAAATTTGCTCTATTTTCTGTGCCTCATTTTTAATCATTTGAATAAACATTTTAGGGGCATCCTCATCTCTATAAATGACAGGGGCTTGATAATATTGTATATCACAAGCGATGTAATAGGAAAAACTAACAGGTACATGTTTTTGATATGGTTTTGTGAAGGATGATTTGGGGTTTGGACAACAACTATCTATTTTTACTGCGACGGCCTCAAAATCTGCTTATGCAACAAACGGAATTTTTAATGCGTGTTGAAAATGTTTATATTTTAAAAACCTACCTTCTTCGCTTGGCATTACCACTCTTGCTGGGCTTTTATCATCACAAATTTCTTTACGCAAGAAAAGTTTATCCTTTGACTGAAAGCTACTCAAACACCTCCGACATATATGCGTTTTATGTTGGTGGTTAGAGAGTTGTCGGGATAGCAGACGCGATAAGTTTTTTATCCAGCAAAAATGTCCGATGTTTTCGTTTAGTGACACATATAAAAGGTCAATGTGGCGATTACATATTTCTCCGCTGACTAAAAGAGGAAATATTTTTAAGTCTTTTTATATTCTCCATGGTNCCACAATTCGTTTAGGAAGTTCAACGAATGTAGACCCTCTTAGGGGGGCATAACGATTCGTCCGAACTTCTTGTCTCAATATTTCATCAAGGCTCCATCCGGAATCCTTTTCCTCAAAATCCTCACTTTCTTTAACAATTTTGTCTGACATGGCGTTGTATTGTAAGTCTAAGTCTGTTGTTTCAAACACCTCCTTGTTAGACGTTTTGAATTCTACATTTTTTATCTTCTTGCCTGAATCTGTTTCTTTGGAATAAATGGTGTGCAACCATATGCTAACTTTTAAAGCCCGATAAATTTCAAGCTCGGTTTTAAATATATTCAAAGTTTCTTCTTTTTTTAAAACTAAGAATTCCTTAATTCCCAAGGAATTTTCCTCATTTGGGAGATCAAAAGTCTTATAGGCCCTATTAAAAGCACTTCTTGATGGATCCGATTTTTTCAGAGATTTTGAGGGTCTGGCAGATGTTGAGGGTTCGGTAGAACTTCTCCGCCTTGTTGGTTGTTCAGCGCCACAATCTTTTTTCTAGACTCACTGTCATCATCATCATCAGCGCGCTTTCTTTTCTGCTTTTCCATTTTTCTTTTACAACTTCCATTATTTAGATGCTGCCGTAGGTTATCTTTTCTAGTAAATGAAGTGTTGCATAGCTCACACGCAAATTTTTCGGACGAATGCACAGATTCTGTATGCCTACCTGCAACATAGTTGTGGGGAGCGGTTTGTTGTTTATAATTATGCGGATATTTATTTGTTTTAGGAAATTTTTGGCATCCCTTATATGATGCGGGGTGATTTAGTGCGCAGGTTACGCATTTCAAATAAGTGCTTTCAACTCTGCCATATTTATCAGAGTGGGGGCATTCATTGGTTTTATGAAATTCGGCGCACTTAACACACCGAGAACGCATTCTGCAGTTCTCGGCGGAGTGACCGAAACGCTGACAATTGTACCATTGAACAACTGTCGGGTTTTCCCCGATAGTGTTCAATAGTTACATCAACATAACAGAGTTTTTTTATGTCATATATGGAATCCAAATTGTAGTTGGGGGATTGGTATATTTGAATCAGAAAAAGGGGGAGGGGTCTACTGTTATACTGGTTTGTCATCTTACTCACTTTGTGAGTGTTGAATCCGATTTTTTTCAGGTCCTCTTCAATTTCGAAGGTATCAATGGAAATGGGGAGGTCTCTAACAACAAACTTTCTCGGTTTTTCGTTTTTTCCTCCGAGGAGGATGTATTCATAGTTGTTATCACCGAGAAATTTAATAACGTCTCTGTAATTTTCAGAGGATGTGGGGAACAATTTTAAATTAGGCCCTGAGGCTTTGGCAACAATTTCAAAGCCAATATTATCTATTATTTTCTTCATAAATTCGGTGGGGCTTTCACCAAACCGAACTATGATTGGTTGGATCGGAGGGGGGTCGGTATCGGCCATATCAATGACGTTGCAGGCTGCCTCCTGTGGAGTTAAGACCTCATAAGTAATAGCAACCTGAACCGGGAGTGGAATAATATTGCGCGTGGCGCGTTTAAAGGTTTTTTTAGTGGGGGGTTCAACAAAATCCCTCTCAAACTGATCCTTTCTTTTTGTTATTGTTATCATGATTAATCTTATCATTATTTTCCGGAATGGAAATACTCGGAATATTGTTATCTAACATTTCAGAATCATTAAAGATTAAGGTACTATTCTCAACAATATTGGACACATGGTTAACATTATAATTACAAAAATTCTCTTGTGAGAATTGCCCATTGTTAGCATTAGAATTAAAAGCATTTATGTCAATACATTTATTAGCACCACTGATAATACGAGGACTAGTAATGTGACCACGTACCTTTTGGGTTGGATAGTTTCTAAGTTGGTAGACTTGTGCTTCCACTAAATCAATCATACATTGGTGGAGGTTGGCGTCGGAGGTGCAAGGTCTTGGATTGCTCAAGGACAACACTAATCCCTCTTCAAATTCATGGATTATTTTTGCATTCTCATCAGATTGCAGTTTTTCGTCAATTGTTTGTGCCGTAGCACTCATAGCCGAAGTTCATGATAATCAACGAGAGCGAAACTATTGAGCTCCGCCCCCTAACATAAATTCAACAGGTTGGAAATGGTCCGTGACCCGTCAAAAACCAAATGACTTGTTCTGTAGGAATTGTTTTGAAAAAAATTACATTATTAATAATTTTGAATAGGCATCTTCCTTTGTCTGAATTATTCCATTGAAATTGCCATTATCTTAAAAAAAGAATCTTTAGTACTTCGTTTAAGATATGAAACTGGAAGTGGGGATATACGTAATTTTTTGGTTGTCTCGTAGATTGTTTAGCTAAATCATCTGCTCTTTTATTATCTACTCTATTGCTGTGTGCTTTAATCCAGGAAATTTGCAAAAGCAAAAAAAAAAAGCAATTTTTTCTCTACTGAGGTCATAGCTGTATTGGATTTGCCGAAAATTCCACAAACAAATTGCAATACAGAATTACAAGATGAAGATGGAGTAGAAAATTGGACGGAATCAACTCTTTCAACAGAATATTCAGATAATATAGAGTTAACAGCTTCTGAAGACGAAGACTGAATGTCGATTACTTAAACATTGAATTATAATCGCAAATTTTTTTTATTTTTGATAACAAAAACAGTGAAATATTTCATTTCTTGTGTTAAATAATCAACGAAAAAATAATTTATTGATTCTGTTTAATTTTTATGACCGAACATTGCTTTACAAATTTTAAGTCATATTTTTTATATATTAATGAAAAATTAATGTAAAATGTTTTAAACGATTGTTATTATAGATATTACTTCGGAAATATAATTTGCTTTTAATTTTTAATATAAAATT